TTATTTAGACAGAAAAGAGGAGATGATGGGGATGTCTTCTGTACATATGTCTCTCTTATTGTTTGATGAATAAAACACTATGACCAATGAGGCAGGGTGACAGGTGGGACCAGGAGACAAGGAGAGACCCTGTCCCTCAACTTATATGCTGTCACATATGCAGACAAAGGCCATGCCCTAGGGCTTGCTGCCCCCAAAGCCATTGGCTAAACAGATTGAAATTCCACATCAAGACTCTGTTTTAAAACCAAACCAAATACAATAGCAACAAACAACCATTCTGAATAGTAGGTTATTGTCTTGTGATTTATGTGATTTCTAAAAATGAGCACAGGAACCAAAACTTAAAAAGAAAAGAAAAGAAAAAAATTATTAAGACTGAGGGCCGAGCTGGGTAGTGGTGGTACATGCCTTTTTAAATCCCGTCACTCAGGAGGCAGAGGCAGGGGCATCTCTGTGAGTTTGAGGCCAGCCTGATCTACAGAATGAGCTCCAGGAGAGGCTCCAAAGCTACACAGAGAAGCCAGTCTTGAAAAATGGGGGCTGAATATAAGCACTTTTCAATGATTCCACTTTTTTTTAAGTTATGCATTTGTGTGTATGTGTGTGTGTGTGTGTTGCACATACACTTGAGTATGGGCATAGATGCTTATAGAAGTGGAGAGTGTCAGATCCCCATGGAGCTGGAGTTACAGGCAGTTGTGAGCTGCCCAACATGGTGCTAGGGACTGAATTTGGCTCTTCTGCAAGAGCAGTGTATGCTCACTGCTGAGTCATCTCTCCAGCTTCTGAGATTTTTTTGTTGTTGGTGGTGTGTCTATCTGCAGACTTCCGTGGGTTAGCACCTCTGGCTTTGGCAAGGAAAGGAAAGATTTTTTTTTTGCTTATTTGGTTTTGGTTTTTTGAGACAGGGTTTCTCTGTCTAGCCTTGGCTGTCTTAGAACTCCCTCTGTAGACCAGGCTGGCCTCAAACTCACAGATCCGCCTGACTCTGCCTCTGGCAAGCTGGGATTAAAGGCGTGCACCACCACCACCACCACCACCACCACCACCACCACCACCACCACCACCACCCAGTTTGTGTAACCATTTGATTAGGATTAGAAACTGCCGATTTGTTGGATTGGAGAAGGTGTGTCACTGGAATGGGCCTCAGGGTTTCAAAAACCCACTCCATTCCCTCGTCTGTCTCCCTGTCTGACTGGAGCTTGTGAATCAGATGTGAGCTCTCAGCTACTGCAATAATGCAATTCCTGCCTGCCTGCTGCCACGCTCCCCACCATGGTCATCATGAATTCCTATCCTGAAACTGTAAGCAAACTCCCTTCAAACGCTTTGATTTGTAATTTGCCTTGTCGTGGTGTTTCTTCACAGCAATGGAAAAATAACTTAGACATACATCCTTTATACACACACACACACACACACAGACACACACACACACGAACCCCCTTCTAACCCTAACCCTAATGTGTGTGTGTGTGTGTAAAGGGGTTTTATCAGGCTGACTCACAGGATGTGGTCCAGGTAGTCCAACAATGACTGTCTCACACTGGAGAGGCTGAGGACCTAGTAGTTGTTTGGTAAGTGGTCCATGAGGCTGGGTGTCTCAACAGTTCCTATCTGGTGCTGGAGCCCTGGAGGATTCCCGGAGAGCCGCTGGACTTCAGTCTGCATGGGAACCCTGAAGAACTTAGTTCTAATATCTGTGAAGGAATGTCACCACAGCGGGATAGACGAACTTGCCAGCCGGAGTAAGGGTAAGCGGGCAGAAAGCCTGCAGTGTTCTTAATAAATCAGAGTTGGAAGTGGCTGACACCTCCTCCTGTGACTTTCTACACAGACAGACCCAATAGCCATGAGGAGGGGGCTACGCAAGGTCATGAGGATCAAGATGCTGGGTGTCATCTCGGAGACTGGTTACCATGCCAACAACAGTATATTGTACAATGTTGTGTCTGGCTCTACCACTGAGCTACATCCTAGACCTCTTTTTTTCTTTTCATTTCCAGATCTCACTGTGTTCCCCAGGCTGACTTTGAGCTCTTTCTGTAGCCTATGTTGACCTAATCTTGTGATCCACCTGTCTCAGACTTCCAAGTAACTAGGATGACAGGTTCGCTCCACTCAGCCTGACTAGCAGAAGACAGACTTCAAGGGGAAGGTCGGCTTTGATTAGCGACTTAGCTCATGTAGGAGATGATTGTTTGGCTTGGAAAGACACCCTGGGCATTGGCACGAATCCCCTTCGTGTCAGAGGCAAGAAGCCTGGTGTTAGGTCGACAATCCTCTATCTGGATTTGGATCTTTGAGATTCAAACTAGCCGGGAAAATTGACTTTGATGGACAGATATTGAGACTGAACACATGTGCTTCTGGACATTAATAAACGCGTAGGTATGTAGTCCGTTAATAGTGTTATATGCATCTAAATTCTTTGAGGATATTGGCTTAAGTGGGGCATGGTAAGCATCTGTAACCCAACACGTGTGAATCTAAGGAAAAAGCATATGACATTCCAATCTGCATGGCACATGTATGTATGTGTGCATGTGTATATGTATGTATATGCAAACACACACAAATACATGAATGCATATATACATTATACATACACGATGCATAGGCTGGGGGAGTAGCTCCATAGCAAGTACAGACTTAACATGTAGAAAGCCCCAGTACCATCTCTAGGATCAAACAAAACCCTAGACAGAAGCTTGGTAGGCCTCTGGGATACCTCTAAGTATGTTTAGAGTATATTTACTGATGGAAGGGTATAATTTGTTGGCCATTCCCACTCAGTTTGCTATTGCTGTCATTTGCTTTTTGTGGACCCAGGGATTGGACCCAGGCTCTGACACATGCTAGGACAACACTCTACCACTGAAATGTATGCTCAGCCCTTTCTGTATTAGAAACTTTGAAGACAGTCTCACTGCATCACCCAAGCTGGTGTTAAGCTCACTTTAAACTTTCGGTCTTCCTTCCCTGGCTTCCCAGGGAGCTGGGAATACAGGCTGCCTGCTTCCGCTAATTTCTGAAAACATGTTTTACTTGTGTGTATGCATGTGTGTGTGTGCCTGTGTGTGTGCTCCCACCACCTGTGACTCAGGCTCAGAGAATTTGATGTCCTCTCCTGCCCCCCTAAAGCATCTGAATGCACATGGCACACACACACACACACACACACACACACACACACACACAGGCACGCATGCACGTGCGCGCACACACACACTCATGCACAGAATCTTGCTATGTTTCTCTGGTTGACCTGGGACTCACGATGTAGACCAGACTGGCCTTGAACTGTCAGTAATTCTCCTGTCTCTGCCCCTGAAATCGTAGGATTGAAATTACTGTGTCCAACTCGCACTGGGAAACCTTCCAAGTCCCAGGCATGACTTTTGTACTTCCTGACCCAGCTGGGAAGCTGCCCGCAGGCCACACAGAGCTGCTCTGACCTCCTTTCTGTGTATATGGGACTTCTCCAGAAAAACCTTTCTGCAGCCCATTTGACTCCCCCGCTTTCTTTTCCAAGACAGGGTCTTACTATGTAGACCAGGTTGACCTTGACCTCACAGAGTGCTAAGATTAAAGGCGTGCGTCACTATGCCAGGCTTGTGTCTTCTCTTTTTACCATCTGATTTTGTTTTTGTAGCACTCCACAGAACTGAATTTATCATTTTTTAGAAAATTGCTTATTGATTCTCTACACCTAGAAACACAAGCTCCTCGCCAAGCACATTCACTGATGTACCTACCTCTGTCCCTAGCATGATTCCCGGAATATACTAAAGCTAACTATGGACTCTCTAAGTTAATTATTGTAGGCTAGGATATATATCTTAGTGGCAGAGTACTTGCTGAGCATGCAAGAGGCCCTGGGTCTAAACCTCCTCAGTGCTGCAATTGTACACACACACACACACACACACACACACACACACACACATTCACACACACACACTGTGGATTTATCATTGACTCTTTGAGTATAGTTACAGATAGGTGAGTAGTATTTGATTGTAGTCAACTCTGATTTATAGGCAGGTAGATTTCACTTGTTTCCTGTGCCTTTCTGTGGGATGATAAAGCCCAAAGATTGTGCTGTGTCCACTAAGAGCGTGAAGGTGACCTGCCGGTATACCAGATAAAGAGTAGACCTTCATTTCTTAAAAATTCTATTATTATTATTATTATTTGTTTGTGTGTGTGAGTGTGCGCATGCATGTATGCCTAAACAGGACAGAGGCATGTCAGATCCCCTGAAGTTGGAGTTACAGGTGCTGGTTATGGGACTTATGCCCTCTGCAAGAACAGTGCATGCTTCTGTCAGCTAAGCCATCTCTCCAGCCTCCCTCCCCCACTTTTTTGAGATAGTGTCTTAACCCCAAGTGCCCAGGCTGGCCTGGAATTGTCGGCAGTCCTTTTACCCCACTTCCTCTCAGTGGCTGGATTAGAAGCATAAGCCACCACATGCTTGAAGCGGCCCCTTCAATCCATTCAGCACATCAGAATCAGGGAAGCCAGGATTCCTCCCGCTCTAGTCAAGATGGGGTTAATCCTCAGCCCACACCCCCCTCATTTTACTCTACCACAGGCCTTCCCTTTTGTACCCACTAAGTGTCTCTTCATGCCAGGCTGGCCCGGAGGGTGACGAGCACATCCCCAGAAGGACCTCTTTGGGATTCTGAATTTGGAGTAAAGCTGGCCGCATCTTGCCCTTAGCCCCTGCCTAGGCATGCCTGCTTGCGGTTTGTCTTTCCCAATGGCCGCACCGAGGAAAAGATTGATCGAGGATGGTTCTGGGCCTGCACCCTACTAGAAGGTTAATCGAGGACGGCTCTGCTTGTCCTGAAATGTATGCTTCAAGCTCTGCCCCACCTTGGTGCTGCCTCGCACACTGCTCTCCATGCCCGAGATGTTTGGGTTCAGACTAAAGAAAGCTAGCGGTTGGTCACCAAGCTTAATTAAATTTGTCTTCATTTAGTCTTTAACTTGCAATTGTGGGGGTTGGAGCTGGTGTCTGGAGACGCACCTCGGAATACCCGATCATTAGCAGAACGAGAGTCATGAGATGTGGAAGTTATGAGAACAGGCAAGCTGGGGGTGTCTTGTAGGATTTCTTCTCAGTCCTCTTAGCTTTGGGCATTGGCAAATAATGCATCATTGTCACCCCCGTATCGCCCAGTAGTGACCTAAAGTGAACTATGACGTTATTTTGAAGAAGTTTTGTAGTTTTTGTTTTGGTTATAAACCCCTCTTTCCCTTTTTAGGGAACAAGAAAACACGAGAAGGGCGGGGTCCTAGTTTGCTTTCTGTTGCTGTGATAAATTCCAAGACCAGAAGTAACTTGGGGAGGAGCGAATACATTTGGTTTACACATTCGGTCAGAGTCCATCAGCGAGGGAAGCCAGGGTGGAATTGAAGCAGGAGGAGAGGCAGAAGCCGGGGGGACGCTGCTTACTGGCTTCTCTTCTCTGCTAACTCTCTCCTAAGGCACAGGCCTGCCTGCCTAGGGATGGCACTGCCGGTGGTGGCGGCAGGCTGGGCCTAACCGCATCAGCCACCAATCAACACAATGCCTCACAGACATAGCCACAGGCGATTTCCCCATCGAGACTTCCTCTCTGACACTGAGCTGTATCAAGCAGAAGCCAAGTAAGACCGGGAACCCGGGAGACAGCACATCATCCATTAGAGCACTTGCTGCTTCCACGCGAGAAGCTTAGCTCAAATGCTGTGTCCACATGAAAGGCTTGCTGGCTAGAAATAAGCCAGGCTAAGGCTGGGCATTTATAAGTAAGAATACGTCTCAGTGTATTTATTTGGGGATCTGGGTGGTGGCCCCCTCCCAAGAGCAAAGCAAAAAAAGTAAAAACAAAACAAAAAAAAAACCCAACTACAGGGTCCCTTTCTAACTCCCTGGCTTCTATAGTCCTTCCAGATTTGCCACACACACACCTAAAAGACTAAATGCTAGGACTTACATATGAGTGAGATCTGCACTCCTTAGTTTATATGATCTTTCTTTTTAATTTTAAAAATATTTGCTTGGTTTACATGTGTGAGTGTTTTCCCAGCATGCATGTGTGTACACCATGTTCATGCCTGGTGCCCGTGAAAGCCAGAAGAGATTCCCTGAAACTGGAATTGTGGATGTTTGTAAGTCAACCTACAGGTCCTTGGTATGGAGCCTGGGTCCTCCTGAAAAGCAGGCTTACCTAATCGAGTCCTACACTCTGAATGAGGTTCCATTGCCTACAGCTAGGCAGGAGTTGGAGGGGGTAAATGAAGCCATTTACAGATCCAGACATTGGATGTGTTTGGCTTGAGATCTGCCAGAAGTTCCTGGAAGTTTGCCTCTCTCTGCCTTTGTTGCTTCAACACAGAAGGTGGAGGAAACAGGAGCTTCCAGCGAGGCAGCTCTGAGTCTCCACGCCGAGGTCAACCTGGCCACGTGGACTTAACCATCAGGCTGTAACATCTCTGAGGGTCACGTAAGATTCCTGGAAAGACCGTCCTTCTAATCTGTCGCTTTGGGCCATTCTACTTGGTCACTTCCAGGTGAGCCCGTTAGGATTCTGGGAAGACACAAAGATCAGAGAGGAGAGCTAATACAAATCTAAAAGCCAGGTGTGATGATACATGCCTGTTATGGACTTGGTGACAGTGTCTCAGGTCTGTAGTCCTAGCATGTGGGAGGTGGAGGCAGGAAGCTCAGAATTTCAAGGTCACTCTTTGCTAATTACTGAATTTGAGGCCAGTCTAGGTTATCTGAGAACCTATCTGAAAAAGAAAATAAAACAAAGTAGGATCCTAAGTATGACTGTAAGAGTCCCTCTTACTCCAGCCAGCAAGATGAACACCCAGGAGCTAGGGGAAGGACTCACTGGATGCTGACCCTGGGAAGGTAGCAGTTACTTCCTCATCCTAAAGAAAACTGATGATGTCTGTGGTTAGGAGCTGAGTGTGGTGGTTGTTTGAGTATTTCTAGTTTTCCTTGTTGACGGGGTGCATCAGAATTGGACTAGCTTATTCCTCCTCTAGCCCCATTCAGCTACTGAAATCCTGACCCTCAGTGAGGTGGTACTAGGAGGCAGAACCTAAGAGATGTGCTTAGATCGTGACATCGAGGCTTTAGGAAAGGGTTTGCAGAGCCCCAGAGAGCTTCCCCACAAGGGAGCACACAGCAGAAATCAGCGGTCTGAACCAGGAGCCTGCCTTCTGCACAACCCAAGCATGCCAGCACCCTGATCTTGGATGTTCAGAACTGCTAGACATACATTTCTGTTATTTGTAAACTGCCTAGCCTACAATATTTTATTACAGTAGTCCAAAGGGCTTAAGAGTGATGGACAATAATGTTTGATCATGTGATTACATTTATGTTTGAATTAAGGTTCTGAAGAATGGATGTTCAGGAGGAAACAAAGAAAGAAGAAAATACTCACTTCCTAGTGGGCCAGGATTCCTTGTGACTTGCTTTTCTGATGAAGTGTGGGCATTTCCACTGAATCGATGCATTCCCTAGCAGGAAGAAGAGGGCTCATAAGACTTAGGAAATCAAGGAAACACACAAAGTCCAGGAAGTAAATTAAACTTACAAGACCCTGGGAGCCCCTGAAAGGTACAGGTTCACAAGGCCCTTCCCCAGGGTCGTGTAAGCAATAACAGTTGCTGGGAAGAATGCTCTCAACCAACAGAGGTGGCTGCAGGTTGTACAGGGAACACCAGACATGAAGGTTTTCAACATCATTACCTAACCCAGGCTGGGATGGGCTTTTTGGTGATGAAGCTGTCTGTCACTCACATTCCAGTGAATACCTCCTCATGCATAGTCTTGATAAACTCACCGGTTCATCAAGCCAGACTTGGGTGAAATTGGTCCAGCCCTCTCTGGTCCACACTCTGACCTGTGACTCAGCTTTCACTTACATCATGTGGCACGTTGGCTTAGCAGGCTCACTGCGTGCAGTCCCGTCTCAGAGATGCAAACCCCTATTAGCATCTTCTGGCAGTGGGGCTTTAGGCAGTGTTCTCAACCTATCTGAACCTCGGCTCTCTGCTGCAGAGTGAAAACAGTGTTGTCTCCCTTCCTTCCTTCTTCTTTCTTCCAGACAGCACCTCTCATTCCCAGGGACTTACCAAGTATAACAATGATGCTCCAACCCCAGCCCTGTTCTTTCTCCTTTGAGCCTTCCCTGGGGGCTGCCCTGCTGTTCTCACAGATTCAGGTCTGGCCAGCTCCTAATAGCAGCACTCAGCAAACTGTCCCGTTCTCCTAGAACCTTCCACACAGCCCAGCCCTGCTGCCCAGTCTGCTCATCGGTTCATCCGCTCGGGCCTTCGCCTGTGTTTATAACTTCATGGTACTGAACAGTGTCTGTCTGTTTCCTTCTCGCTCTCTCTTCCTTTCCCTCTCTCTCCCCCACTTCTCTCTGCCCCCCACTTCTGTCTGTCCTCCCTACCCACTCTTCACATCCTGCTTTACTGTGTAGCCCTGGCTGGCCTGGAACTTGCTGCATAGACCACACTGGCCTGGAACTCACAGAGCTCCTCCTGCCTCTGTCTCCTGAGTGCTAGGATTAGGATTAGACGTTTTCCATTGCTTATTTTGTAAACAAAATTGTATTTGAACAGAGCTCCACTCATTAATACATAGTATTTACCGTGACGCAGACTGTGTGGTCCCTCTGACTAAGATATTCACTGTCTGGCCTTTTATAGATAAAAAAAAAAAAAAAAAAAAAGCAAGCAAGCAAAAACTCGACGACTCCCCAGCCCAGTACAGACGTGAAACTTTTGGGCTGTGAGTCACCGGCCTACATTTGAATCCCAGCTGTAGCACTCACTGCTCTGCAACCCTGGTTACTCATCCGTGATGTGGGACTCTGAACCCTTCCCAGCTGACGTGAGAAACATGCTCTCTCACCTTGTTAACCGCTTTGAAGCAATCCCGACGGCTCCCCTAGGCTTGGTGTCTTAGACCATGATCCTAGCGCGTCTTCTCTGTTCTTATAAATAATTAAAACCAGCGGAAGAATCGGGGTCGCCGCCTCCCCTGTCCTCGGAATAAAGACGCACCGTGTGCCAGCTGTCCACGCCAAGCACGGCATGTTGATTGGCTGAGTCAGAGCGAGGCAGGAGGTCTTCCATTGGCAGACTGTGGGGCTGGCTGTCTTTGATCTATTCTGGACACTACGCTGACTCAGCGCTGGCGATGGAAGGCCCGCAGATGAAATGTCTGGGAGATCAAATATTCGTACGAGAGGCTCAAGAGTCCCCGTGGTCCCCACAGCCTCATGGGAAGGACCAGGAGGCATGAGAGAATGTTTACCAGGGGTTGGTGTGGAGTCTGACATCAGTTACAGAAGTCTGGTGCTGGAGAGACCTGGCCAAACAGCCGCAGTTCCTGGGAAACTGGTGTGGGGCCCCTAGGTGGTCCCAAGTTTACTATGAGCCAGACACACAGGGCTGGCAAGGAACACAAGACCCTGGTCTGCAGGAGATGCCTGTGGCTCCGAGGAAGGCAGAACAGAAAGCGACTTCAAATGAGCTAGGCAGACCAACATTTGGAAAATGGATGTCAGCTGTGGAGTCCGTCCTTAGTGGTGATATTGCCAGTGTCTCGGGGGGCTAGGGAGGAAGAACATGGAGGGTCAGGCTAGCCACTGCCTTGGGAGCCCTGTCATCATGAGGAATGCTAGAGGACCCAGGGATGGTTCCCAGGAAAAGAGCGAATGACCACAAGAAAGGTCAATGACAGGCCTTCTCTGTGGAAGACGCTGCCTTGCCTATCCATCCATCCATCCACCCACTCATCCACCCACCCACCCATCCATCCATCCATCCATCTATCTATCTATCATCTATTATCTATCTATCTATCTATCTATCTATCTATCTATCTATCTATCTATTGTGGACCTGGGGCTGGGCCTCGAGCATATTTGGCAAGCTCTGTGCCTCTGAGTGACACCTCCAGTCCTAATCTTACTGCCCCTACCACAAGGAGGGACATAAATTCAATGGATTCACCATCAGACGACCAGCCCTATTCACACAGTCCTTGCAACCCCCTTCCCTCCCGCCCAGGTCTCCCATCTCAAAAGAGGTGATTCTTAGATTCCTCTTTGTTCTTAGCTCTGCCTTTCTGGTGACAGCCATGGATGCCTGCTGGGGGCTAGCATGCTGGGATCCTCTCTTGAGGGAGAACGGAATCTGTCCCAAGGACTGCCGGCCTCTGTCTTCATATGGCTGAGTCTGTCGTATGTAAATCTGGGGTGGCAGGGCAGACGCTTGTCACCAGGACAGCGCTGTGGATCGTTTTCTAATCTTTCCGTGTCCTCACTCTCCCTGTGTTCCCGAAGCTGGGCTTTATGAGTTACCCTCGTGCCCTTGCTATGGTTTTTGCTGGGACTACTATGGGTTTCTTCCCGGGTAACTCAGATGCCCAGGTAGTTAGGGAGCGCTTGCTGTTCTTGCGGAGGACCAGAGTTCAGTTCCTGTCACAACCGCCTGTAACTCCAGCTCCAGGGGACCTGGTGCCTTCCTCTGGTCCCTTAGGGTTCCAGCACACAAGTGTGCATGCACACAGAGAGAGACACGCGGGCAACACGTAAACAGATTTATAATTATTAGCTATCTCAGGGGGCAGGAGGCAAATCTCCTAGTACACCTGAAGGCGTGGTGGTGGATGGTGTTCTCCACTGAGTACTGCTTCAAGAAGCAGGGACAAGGCTGAACGGCACTGTGTAACCAAGAAGCAGAGGGGAAGCATTTGGCCTCGGCCTTCGGGAACGTGTGAGATTAATGGTAAAAGTTGAGGTTAATGGTAAATGCCTCTTTCTAACTCTGGGAATAAATTCTCAGCTGTAATTCAGCCCATTTCTTATGCAAAGTGAGGGGGTAAACAGACCACGGAGCTGTGAGGGCAAAAACTCACCTGATGTGTTAGCTGTCTGTGCTGTTAGGCATTGTTCTGGGTTGGGAGAATAGTTCAGTGGTAGACTATACATTTGCATGCTCAGTGATCCAGGGTTCATTCCCAGTATGAAAGAATAGGTGGGGGGGGGCAGTGTAAGGGGAGAGAAGGAAAGAGTGGGGTGAAGGAAGGAAGAGTGTGGCTGTAAGGGATATGGAAAGAGATGCATGGTGGCGCACGCCTTTAATCCCAGCACTCGGGAGGCAGAGGCAGGCGGATCTCTGTGAGTTCGAGGCCAGGCTGGACCGACAGCCTCCAAAACAATACAGAGAAACCTTGTCTCGTAAAACCAAAAAAAAAAAAAAAAAAAAAAAAAAAAAGAGAGATGCATCAAGATCAAGATTAACATACGAGGGCTGCAGAGATGGCTCCCTGGCTAAGAGCACTGGCGGCTCTTCCAGAGAATCTGAGTTCAATTCCCAGCAACCACATGGTGGCTCACAACCATCCATGAAATCTGGCGCCCTCCTCTGGCCTGCAGGGATACATACAGGCAGAACACTACATATATAATAAATAAATACATCTTTTAAAAAAAAAGACAAACATGTGATAGAAGCTGTTTGGCTGAGAAAGACTAAAGGCCTTCTCCACTTGGGCTCCATGCCGCTAACAGAGCGTGTCTGCTCTATGAAACCTTGCGGGAGGACGCGTGTTCTGCAAATGATCTTCAGGAGGTCATGAGCCTCAGGGTCCAGCCTCTCGTGAGTGTCTGCCTCTCCCTGGAGCACTTCCCCTTTCTTCATAAGCCATCTCCATGTCTGTTGCTAATCATGTGTCTCCGGTGCAGCTCTTTGTCCTGGGACACCAGAGCCTGGACATCTTTCCCTGCACCCCTAGTCTCTGCTTTGTAGCAGAGCAGAGGAAGGACAAGAAAAAAGAAAAGAAATTGCCAAATTGCCAGAAACAGTGTTTTCAAATAGTAAGCAATCACTCTGTCTCAGTTCTAGAGGTCAGAGTGGGAAGTGGGTCTCACTGCGTGTGCTCAGGCCTGGGCTGGTTTCTATTGGACATCTGGGGAGAGTCCACCTCGCTGCCATTCCTGGCCCTGGGGGTCTTTGGCTGTCTCTCTGTCTGACCCCATCTCCCATCTTACCTCTGTGCGCAAGGCTGCAGATCTCTGACCGTTTCCCCTGGAGCTGTGGAGGCCTTCGCTGGGGGCCTGGGATCATAGCGGCCTCCTTGCGGTGTTAAAATTGAATAGGAGACTGGGTGACTTATAGTAAAACAAATTTATTTGACCCATGGAGCTGGAGGCTGGGAGGCCCAAGAGCACAGTGTAGCACTTGGGGAGAGCCTTCCCACTGTCCCATCCCATGGTGGAAGGAGAGAGGACAAGCAGGGGTGTGAGACAGAAGAAAAGCAAGACACAGCTTTAAAAAAAAGTTGCGGGCGTTGGTGGTGCCTTTTACCCCAGCACTTGGGAGACAGAGGCAGGCGAATCTCTGAGTTTGAGGCCAGCCTGGTCTACAAAGTGAGTTCCAGAACAGGATCCAAAGCTACACAGAGAAACCCTGTCTTGAAAAACCAAGAAAAAAAAAAGGTTTTAGTCTGAATGATGTGGTGCACACCTTTAAAAATATCGCTAGCAAGGCTGTGGCAGGTGGATCTCTGAGTTTGAGGCCAGCCTGGTCTACATTGTGAGTTTGAGGCTAACCTAGGGTACATAATTTATTTATTTGTGTGCATGTGTGGTGAGTGTGTGTTGTGTGTATGTGTGTGTGTATGTGCATGAGTGTGTGTGTGTGTGGTATGTGGTGTGTTCATGTGTGTGTGTATTTGTATGCCCACAGAGGCTGAAAGAGGACTTCATATCCCCTGGAGCTGGACTTACAGTCTTGTGGGTCTCTGGATGTAAGTGCTGAGAACTGACCTTGGGTCCTTAGGAAGAACAGGAAGCTCTCTAACCACTGAACTATCTCTCTCTAATTCCCCTCTCTCTTTTTCTTTCTTTCTTTCTCTTTTTGTATTCAACATCCTCTTTATTGATCATCTCTGTAATTTTTTTTTTGGTTCGCATGTCTAAGCTAGAGTCTTAGGGTACTATCAGTGAAGAAATGGCTTTTCAGGCCTGGGGCTGTAGCCTAGTGGAGAGCGCTTGCCTCGCAAGCAAGCATGAGGTCATAGACTCAGTTACTCGTCCTGATGACAATGAGATGGGGGAGGAATTCCATCTCCTTTTGTTTTGTTTTTAAGACAAGATCTCACCATGCAGTCCAGGGTGGCCTGGACTGTGACAGTCTCCTATCTCCACCTCAAGGGCTGGGGTTATAGGTGTGTGCCAGCTCACTCGACTTGTTTATGGCTTTCGGATCGGGTTCCTGTGACAATGTGATCTCAGGCGGAAGCATTCTCCACGGTGTGGAATAAGCTCGTGACTCATAGATTGCTGGAGAACTCAACAGGCAGGCCCATCCCATAGACACTGGGCCTCTGTTAGGACCAAGCTTGAGATCAGATAGTGAGTTTCTAGTCAAAACTAGTCCCTGTCAGGGCTCTGGGCTGGAGCAGGCCTCACCGCGCAGCTTCAATCATCCTAGAGCAAAGTGCATGCAGTGGCCAGGAAACGGCTGGGCTCCACTCTGGGCTGCTGGATTGACCCGTGTGAGCTTCTAGTTCATGGCCAATGTTGGCTTTCTGGAGTGGACTCCTGCATTATCCAAGTGGCAACAGAGGCTGGGGCTCAGGATATCAGTGGGTAATTTCAGAGTGGTCACCTATTAGTAGACAGCTTTTCCTTTTTCTTTCAAACGTTTATAGGTGTGTGTGTATGTGTGTGGGTGTATTGGCATATGTCCATGTCCCTGGAGTATGGAAGAGGTATATGTGTGTGTGTAGCTACAGTTGGGTGTTGGGAATGGAACCAGGATCTTCTGCAAGGGCAACAAATACTTTTAACTACTGGGTCATTTTTTTTCCCCAGCCCCATCCTGGAATGAGATGATGTCATCTCTGGTTTATCCAGTTATTTCAATGAATGGGCTAAAGCAAGTCCAATTCCTTGCTAAGATAGGATTATCACAGTCTCTTTCCTGGTACATCCAACAGGAGACTAAAGTGTAAGCGAAA